AAAACTGTTGCAGGTGCTGCGAGGGGAGAATGTGAATTGGGATGAGTGGGAGGCGGAGTTGATGCCAAGAGACCAGTGCGAGCGCTGCCGGCGGAGGTTGCTGGTAGAGGCGTTCTCGAAGTACGAGTTCCAGAGGAAGGAAAGGCCAGCGCTCTGCAAAGAGTGCGCGGAAGAGATGAAGGACGCTGACGAGAAATGGTGCACCACGTGTAGAGGGTGGGCAACAAGAGCAGAGGCTGACGAAGCGCCGCGGCACGGTGACGATCGGAGTGGGGATGCAGCGCCGGACGGCGGGGGGACAAAAAGGATTCGGACAATGTATTGCGCGAAGTGCAGCCATGTGAAAGCGAAGCAGAAGTCGCGGAGCGGCAACGCGAAGTGGAACGAGAGCGTCGGCACCGTGCGATGTTCCAACGATGCGTGCCTGTCGCTGCATGACGGGAAGGGGGAGATGTCGGAAGCTCAGAAGAAGCACAACGCTGCGGGGGAAAGGCTGTGTCGGAAATGCGCGGCAAACCGAGAGAAGGAGGTGCGACGGGGGAATGCTGAGGCAGCGAATCGCAAACGCAAAGCCGAGGCCGACGCGAAGTCGCTGATTTGCGCGGCGTGCGGAGGAGCGTTCTCAGACACGAAACATTTGAAGCCGGGGCAAGTGGAGGATCATCGAAAGGCGAAAGGAGCCAAAGTGGTGCGCGGAGGCTTCATTTTCGATTTCCGAGTGGCAGTTTGTTCACGTCCGTGCGCGTGTTTGGGCGTTGGTGGTCGGCTTGCGTCGTGTGGCGGAATATGCAGCGCCCTCCATCAGTTCTGAAATGAGGCCGCACCAGACTGGTCAGGGGTCGTTATCCGTTCTGTGGTCTTGTGCGCAGGAAGGTTTAAACCGCTGGCACACGATGTGTCCTCTGGTGCAAGAGGTTGCAGAGTTGTCTGGCGTGGTATCCAAATCGAATGCGTGTCTTGACTCAATTCATGGTGTAATGCACCGTGCGTCGACAAAGTGTAGGTGGTGCGCCCATGAGGAAAATGTTTGTGCATCTCTTGTGCAGTGCGTCAGTGGGGTGCACCATACTTGTCAGGGTTGTTATCCTTCCTGGCGTTCTTTTGTGCGACAGGAAGGTGAATCACCCTGGAAGAAGCT